GGCTATGTCGCTGGACTCCCATGTAGTCAACCGCGGTTTGTGTCCCGGACCCGGTGGCTTAAAACACACCGGGCGCATGTGCGTGCATGCCAAGATCCTGAGAGGAGAAGGGAAGAGAAGGGATTGCGGTGTGGCCATCCCCCCTGGGGGGTGATTTCTCGCTTTCTGTATCTCTGTCTGGCGAGCGCACGTTCCCTATAGCAAAAACCTCTCCAAAAAAAAAAAAAGAATTTTGTCATAGGGCGTGTTCAGGCTTGCTGCAGTTGGTGGACGAGCTGAGGGCCTGCCTCTGAGGGCGCTCTGCAGCCTTCCTGAAGCACACCCTAAGCGTCTGAGCGCCAAAGGTACCCATCCAATCCCTGAGAGCAAGTCTCCTTCCCTTCCCTCAGCCCCCGTGGAAAGGCAGGGAGCACAGCACGTCTTCCTGTTCGGTTGCTGCACCAGGGCTTGGCCAACTTTGATTTTTTTCTGATGCAAAATTTAGAAGCTATGAAAGGGTATACAAAGAAAAGGCAACCCTTATGCTTCCTTTCAGAGACAGACAGGCATGATGGCTGCCCCTCAAATGAGGGGCAGGCTAGCATGCAACTGAAGCAAGCCTTTGGGACTACCTTCCAGGGCACAGGATAGGGAAGGAATGTTTCTCCTTTACCCAGGTGATTGCAGGGAGAGAGAAATTTGGGGCAGTGCAAAGGGGCTTCAAGCCTGGGTTGGGAGCCACTGTGGAATCAACAGCCACCCCGTACCTACAGGTTCTGGACACAACCTGCTTTCAGTTCAAGAAGAGCTCTGTTCAGCAGCAGGCACGACCCTGCAGGCCAGCAGTCAGGCACAGGCTCCCAGAGCAGGCCCAGCGCGGCCAGCCCTTCCTTATTCCCCTCCAAGGCCCTGTCCTTCAGCGGACACAAAGCAAAACTGGCTGGGATTAGGGGCTGCTCCAAATATCTACATTTCAAATCTCCCTTTAGCTGCAGTTTCTATGGCTACCAGGCCTCCTAGTAACAAGGCAGCCAAGTGTTAACACCAGCCCCTTTGCTGACCCTCAGGAGAAATCTGGAAGGCAGCCGAGGCAACAGAACACCCAAGGCAGAACGAAGCAGCAGCAATTAGGCTGTAGTTAACAGCATCTCAGAGTAGGCCGGGAGAAATCGCTTGTGGGATTTGTAAGAGGCCCCAGCACAGGCAGGGTGTGCAGAGGAATCATTCCTTTTTTTCTTTTTTTAATAATTATTTATTAAATTTTATCTATTCATTCATTTTCAATTTGACAAAGACACACACACACACACACAGAGAGAGAGAGAGAGAGAGAAAGAGGGGAAGTGAGAAAGCAAGCCACCATCCAGTACTCGAACCGTGTTCAGTCATGTGGGAATATCCAGCGCCTTAATCACTGTGCCACTAGAGGGATCATTCTTTACCTTAAGAACGGGCCTTGTCTTTGGAATACTATGGCTGAGGTGGGGGGGCCTGGCTATAGTCAGGAAAAACCGATTAAGAGACAGGATGGGCCGTAGAGCACCTGATTTCATGCAGCTCCCTGAGCAATGGCTGACTTGCTGCAGTCTGGACCCACTGGCTGAAGTGCAGTCGGAGGGACTGCTGGCCCCTGCAACTTGGGGCTAGGGTGAGCATGGGGAAGCGGGCCCTCCTTCAGTCTATGTAGCCATAGAACCCCTGTGACTTCAGGGAGTGAGGACGAAGTAAGCCTCACTGCTCGCCCAGACGCACAGCTGACAGCCTCTCTGTCCCGGATTTTGGGCAACAGGATGTCCCGCAGATCCTCCAGCCCCAGGGGGTTTTGAAATATGAGTGGAGATGAAATAAAAACAATCTCCAAGAGTGTGTCTAACTTCTCTGGAATATTTGTTCCCGCAGAGTTAACATTATGTCGTCTGATATGTCATATATCTTATATCCTCCAAAACTGTATATTATTCTTCTCCTTTCTGAGAAAGAGGGAGAAGGTTGGGAATAAATATTTCTGCCAGTGTCTTCCTCTGTTGTGATCTCCCCGTTATCTAGGATGACAAGAGCACACAACTGTGCCTGCAGTGTTCAGCCTGGGAATAGAACCTGGGCTCCCATGTGGCTTCCAGCCACCCAGGCAGTGACACTACCTGTGCACCACTGTGGTTGGGCCTTCCAGAGAGAGACACAGAAAGAGAGAGAGGGAAAGTGAGAAAGCAAGCCACCAGGTCTGGGACTCAAACTGTGGTTGACCATGTGGGAGTGCCCAGTGCCTTAACCACCAGGTCACTTGCTGGTCCCCTTCTGAACTTTTTAAGGGTCTCTGTCTTGCACCTTTTTGGGGCTTTTGTTAACTTTTACTATCAGTAAGTATTTTTTCCAATTATGAACGTGATACATCCTCATGGTTAAGTCAGAAAATAAAAAACATGAAGAAAATTAACGTAACCCATAATGCCCATTTAAAGATAAAATGCATAATAGTTATGTATACACATGCACTCACCAGAGAGACAAAAAGCAAGAAATCACCCCAAGAGGGGATGGCCAAGCCACAATCCCTTTTCTATTCTTCTCTCAGGATTTTTGGCACACATGCATATGCGCCTGATGGGAGTTTTAAGACGCTGAGTTTGGGACTTGAACTGTAGTTGACTACATGGAAGTCCAGTAACGTGACCATTATGCCATCTGCTGGTCCTGCATAATGGTACTATTTTAATTCCATATGTATATGTAATTCATTTTTCTAACAATATTTTTAACAGAATTTATGTGGCATGTACATATATATAGGATTTATTGTTAGAAAAGTAGATATTGGGAATTTTTTCTTCATTTTTTAAAAGTGACTTTTAAATTTAATTTTATTTACTTATTCCTTTATTTTATTTTAATTTGACCAGAGAGGGACAAAGACAGAGAGAGTCAGAGAGAAAGAGAGAAAGCAAGCTGCCAGGGTCAGGACTTGAACCATGGTCAGCCATGTGAGAGTCTAGCACCCTTAAACATCATGTCAACTGCTGGCCTCAATTTTGTTAAATAAAATTAAAGAAATAATATTCTGCGGGGGCCAACAGGTGGCATGATGATTAAGGTGCTAGACTCTCACATGGCAGACTGCGGCTAGAGTCCCAGACCTAGAGGCTTGTTTTTTTTTCTCTCTCTGGTCAGTGCACATGCCTTATAGCAAAATTTAAAATAGCAATGATAATAATAAATAATTCTTTCCAAAAAGAAATAATTTTCTGTAACTGACTTCTTTTCCTTAACAGCAGTATTACTATAAGCCTGTCAAAAAACACAGCATCCTTTTTGTGGCTGCCCTGCACACAGAACAGCACCTGCAGCAGATACCTGATAACCTCTAGACTGAAGAGAATGACGCGCCTGCCCAGATAACACCAGCACCTTGCCGTGATTAAGTGGCTCTTTGTAATCTGGTTATTGCCACTCCATAGGTGCTAATGGTGATGACCTACAAGTTTAATTAATGGATTTTTCTAGTCCTGATAGTGGCTTACCTACCAATAGTAAAGAAAAGGGGGAAAACTTCATCATAAGCTCATTAAGACTATAAAAGAGAGAGTGGCCTGTGGGATAGAGTCTGCCGGTGATTCCCACCAGCTCGGTCAGGACCACGGAGGACGTAGGAGGTCAGGAGCCAAGGGGAAGTGTGGGCAGCTTTATGCACTGGCAGAGCACCGGCCAAACTGTTTAGCTGATGCTGAAACTTAGTATCTCACCGTTCTACTTTTCTTCCATAATTTGTCTCCATTCAGCCTGAGTTCACCTTTGTAGAATGCGTCTTCTACTTTGCTATTAAAAAAAAAAAAGACAAAGTGCTTTAAAATACATACATATATTCCAAAGAATTATACAAATTTGAGAAAAACACCCACCATTAGTATTTATTCTGACAGTGACTCCCCACAGAATCTCCATTTGGGGTGCCAGGAAAGTGAAAGCCACGTGCTCCTGGCTGTATCTACAACGGGGAGACCAGAGGGCACAGTTGACCAGATGCCCCGCTGCTGCAGAGGTCTGCCAGAGATCCTGGGCGGTACTCAGGTAGGGCTTTAAGAGAGGCTTTGACATGCATGTCAACTTCCACCCAGAAAAGGGTGCAGCCACCTCACAGCCTCTCAGGTACCAGGCACCACACATTGAGAAACCCTCTGCCAGTATGCACTGAGGTTGGGGAAATTCTACTCCAACAGCTGACCCCTCTGAATTTAAACCACTCGGGAAACCAGAACGGTGGAGAATACAGACAAAAATCAGAGCCCTTTCTTTTTAATGATCTGATTCCAGGGGACTGACATTTAGAGTTTGGCTTATATAATTGTTTTTAAACATTTGCTAGAGGGCGCATGCAATTGCGAGAGAGAGGAAGAGAATGAGAAACCACTTCCTGGGGTGGTGGTGGGGGAGGGGTGGGGTGGCCACACCACAGTCCTTTCTCCTCCATTTTCCTCTTGGGAATTTAAGCATACATGCACACATGCCTGGCATGATGTTTAAGCTACTGGGTCCAGGATTTGAATACATGCAGTTGGCCATGTGGGATCCAGCTGCCTTAACCTCCATGCTGAGCTACTGGTCCAGCTTATATAATTTTCTTTCTTTCTTTCTTTCTTTTTTTTTTTTTTTTTGAGAGAGGTTTTTGCTATAGGGCGCATGTGCTTGCCAGAAAGACAGAGAGAGACAGAGAGACAGAAAGCAAGAAATCACCCCCCAGGGGGATGGCCACGCCGCAATCCCTTCTTGTCCATTCTCCTTTAAGGATCTTAGGCACACATGCACACACACCCAACGTGCTGGTCCCCTAGCTGGTATAATGGCTATGTCACTGGACTGCCATGTAGTTGACCATGGTTTGAGTCCCGTACCCAGTGGCTTAAACTCATGTTGGGGGCATGTGTATGCATGCCCAAGATCCCGAGAGGAGAATAGAGGAGAAGGGATTGCAGTGTGGCCATCTCCCTTGGGGGGTGATTTCTCGCTTTCTATCTGTCTTTCTGGCGAGCGCACGTGCCCTATAGCAAAAACCTCTCCAAATAAATAAATAAATAACTAAAAGATCAGCATCTACTACTTTGGGAAGGGAGGTGCTCCTTTATGGGTCTGCCAGATTCTAGAGAACATTCAACAAATCCTGGTCAGCATGTGAAGGGTAGGGGGTGTCTGTGGATTCAGAGTCAGCTCTATGAATCTCTTAAGCTTTACGGATTCACAAATTAAGCTATGCTGGACCAGCTCTGTGTCCTGGTGACTGGGGGAGCCAAATCTCACATGGTCAGCTACACAGTTCAAATCCCAGACCTGGTGGTTTGAGGGGCACGCTGGCATCTACATATGCCCAAAGTCCCAACAGAGAGATGGAGGTGGAGGGACTGCAGCATGACCAGGACCTATAGCAGGTGCTTTCTCCCTTTCCTTCCAGAGTGTACACATCCTCTAGCAAAAAACCTTAAAAATAAATAAAACATGCCATTAAACGAGGTTATAAAGGTACAATTTAAATAAGGAAATCTGAGTTTATTCATACTACAATTCTCACCTTGTGAGTGGTATGCACGTGACTGCTAAAGAAATGAGCAACAATGAGGGTCACTATTCTTATACAATTAGTCTAGCACAAAGAGAATGAGAATATTACAGAAGCCTTGAAAGTTAGTCTTGAAACTTAATACCTCTGTATTATACATGAACATTTAGAATTCTCTTCATAACAGCTAATACATACGCTATCAAGGATGTGTCCGTGCTTATAATAAAATACACCTCATACTCACTTTCTCCCAATATCTAGGCCCGTCTTCAGGATAATGTCATACCGAAAAGACTGCACTACTTTTTCCAGGTCTTTATAGTCTTTTGCCACGCTGGGGTCATCTTCGAACTCCTCTTCCTGTTCACGCGTCGCATTACGATCACTCTCTTCATCAGAGTCCACATCATCTTCTACTTTTTGCAAAGTCGTTTTGGTGGACTTTTTAGAGCTTATATTACTTTTGAGTCTCATGGAAAATGGAAATATATATTCTGGAGATATGAAAAGCCCCGGGAGTCTCAGTGAGAAAATATTATGGAAAAGAGTTTTATAATTGGATGCATTTAGCTTAGCACTAGAAAAATGTAAGTACTGATTCCAGGAAGCACAGAGTTTGTTTGAAGGTGTCCCTCGGAGCATGCCCCAGAGTCCAATCCACGCATCTGGTTTCCTTAAAACACTGGTGAACAGTCTGACGCTAGTCACGGCCATGGCGCGTATAACCTGAAACACACAATGACTCAGTCTGATTTCACAGGTGCAGTGTCGTGGCACTCTCACAACAGAAACCACGCACACCATGAACACTCTGTACGGAGCACTGTGCTTATGCGCCCTACGAAAGCCCTCCTCAGTCTGCACATACCAAGGGCCATGTACCACACCCTGGGGAGTCTCCTAGCAGCAGTTAACATGCTTAGTTAGGGTTGGTAAGAGCATCCAATAAGATACTAGCATGTAGAGGACAACAGACGGCATAGTGGTTACATCGCTGGACTCCTAATGGCAAACCTTGGTTCAAGTCCCGGACCCAGTGACTTGAAAATCACACAGAATGCATGTCCATGCATGCCCAAGATCCCAGGAGGAGAATGAAGAAGGGGTTGGGACCAGCAAGTGGCATGGTGGTTAAGGCGCTGGACACTCCCACATGGCCAACCATGGTTCGAGTCCCAGACCTGGTGGCTTGCTTTCTCACTTTCCTCTCTCTATGTCTCTCTGGTCAATTTAAAATAAGTGAATGAATAAATGAAATTGAATAAAATATTTTTTAAAAAAAGAAGGGGTTGAGTCATAGTCATCCTCCCCTGGGGAGTGATCTCTCACTTTCCCTCTCACTGTCTCTGTCTCTCTCTGGCGCATGCATGCACCCTATGGCAAAAACCCCTTAAAAAAAAGACCCTGATTCATGTGAAAGCACTGTTTCTACTTCTCTCCTTCCCCAGATTAACTCTGGGTATTGATTGCTATTGAAAAATATTAACATAGTTCTCAATATTGTTTTTTTAAAGAAAGAAAACCTGGAGAGAAAGACTGTTTATTGACATATACTACACCTTTACAGTACTGACTTTGCCAAGTAAAGACCAGATCATGACTTCATAAAACCCGCAGAGAACCTCTACATTTGATGTCACTCTCTAACCCAGCAATCAGAGCTAGGAAGTAGCCAAGGACAGATCTGCGCTTTCCCTCTGCCGCCTATCCTCCCACCTCCCACTGTTCAGGAGGCACTGGTAGAAAAGGCGAGGTGATCATTCCCTGAGGCACCGCAGTGCCCTATAGCAAAAAACCTCTCCAAAAAAAATAAATAAATAAATAAAAAAAGAATTGCCAGAGGACACATGTGGTCACCCCATATGGGGCGTGGTCACACCACTATCCCTTTTCCTCCAGTTCTTCATACTGTCAGGATTTGGGGCACATCTGCCTGGTGCATTTTTTTTTTTTTTTTTTTTTGGTTTTTGCTATAGGGCGCGTGTGCTCGCCAGACAGACAGAGAGAGACAGAGAGACAGAAAGCAAGAAATCACCCCCCAGGGGGGATGGTCACACCGCAATCCCTTCTCCTCCATTCTCCTCTTGGGATCTTGGGCACACACGCTCACGCGCCCAGCGTGAGTTTTAAGCCACCGGGTCCGGGACACGAACCTCAGTCGACTACATGTGAGTCCAGTGACATAGCCATTACGCTAACTGCTGGTTCCCTGCCTGGTGCATTTTTGAGGCTACTAGGACCAGGATTTCAACTGCACTGTCAGCCATGTGGGATCTGATTCCCTGAACCACTAGGCTACAGGGCCAGCCCTGTGATTTTCTAATTAGTTCATGTGGAATGTTCTTCTCTCCCAAACTCTAAAGGTCCTGACAGAGCAGGGAGTGTGCCCTAGTTTTCACCTCCATCCCCTATCTGCTCAGCACACACAAACACCAGTGAATAGCTGCAGATTCATTTCCTAGAAATGAAATGAGCATCCTACCCATTACTATGTCCACACCACATTCAGCCATTCACCCACATGTGCCAAGTGCCTGGCTGGGCCCAGACATGCACGACACATACATAGCCCTGTCCTCAAGAAACTGCCATTTAAGTGGAATAAGTTATGGGGAAACATCAAGTTAGAAGAACTTCTTTCTAATGGACTACTCCCACCAGCAAGCTGTTATGTGTCTCATTCAAAAATGAGCAAACAGGGACCAGCAGATGGCGTAGCAGTCACGTTGCTGGACCCCCACATGGCCATCTTGGTTGGAGCACTAGCCCTAGTGGCTTGAAGATCATGCGGGGTGCGTGTGTGGTCGGGATACCCCTGGAGGGTGATTCTCGCTTTCCCTCTCACTGTGTCCATCTCTCCCCACACCCCAACCATGCACCCTAAGGCAAAAACCTCTTAAAAAACAGAACAAAACAAAACAAGCAAATAGACAACAAACTTTCTCTTAACTCTACTACCCCCCAGATACTAATACTTTTCTTTTCTTACTCCTCTTTTAGGACAAAACTTCTCAAAAGAATTATTTTTAAAATCTTTTTATGTATTTTTAATTTGACCAGAGAGGGACAAAGAAAGAGAGAGAGAGAGGGAAAGTGAGAAAGCAAGCTGCCCGGTCCAGGACTCAAACCACAGGTGCCCATGTGGGAGTCCAGCACCCTCAACCACCAACACCACCTGCTGGCCCCCTCAAAAGGATTTTTAAATAATTATTATTTTATTCAACTTTATTTTTAAAATTTTGACCAGAGAGAGAGAGAGAGAAAGTGAGAAAGCAAGCCGCCAGGTCCAGGGCTCAAACTGCGGTTGGCCATGTGGGAGTCCAGCACCTTTAACCACCACACCTCCTGCCAGCCCCTCAAAAGGATTTTTTATACTCTCAGGTGCTGTCTTCTCATTTTCTATATCCAAAAGGTAACTCTTGAAAACAAAACAAAACCCCAGTCACTTCTTCAGTGGGCTTCCGGGACACCTCCCCTTCTGGTTCTCATCCTGCCTCCCCAGCAGCTGCGTCCTTCTTTTCTCCCGGACATCCTAACGTGGGAACGTGCATTCCATATTTAGTCCTTTTCTCTTTTACATTCACTTTATCCAGCTCAGCTCGTAAATCAGTTTCAACAGATACGAATCAAGACACCAAACATAGTCGTGATTTTACACACTGCCTATATGACAAATATTCCCTAATCTGTATCCCCATTCAAGAACTTTCTTCCAAATTCCAGACTTGGGTTATCTGTACAGAGAAGAACTAACCCGATAGGCCTGAGACCGCTGTCCTTGGAAAGGCCTGCGTGGGCCCAGCCATAGTGGCACAGGTGACGCAGTGCCACTGTGCTATTCTGGAGACATGCAGGAGGCCCAGGGTCAGTCGTGGGTCAGCCTGAACATACCAGGTGCACCCATGCACACTTGTGCTCCTGGCTGGCTGGGAGGCTAAAGGAAGGGCCACAGTGAGGCAAGACCCTGTGAAGAGTCCCTGCCTCGATGGCTGTCTCTCAAGAAAGACTTGCATGACTGGTGTCTTTAACTTGGACTTCAGGAGGATTCTCCCCATTTCCTGAACTGATAGGAATAGTCCATGTGTCAAACGGGACTAACAATTACTAATGCTCAACTCCAGCTTTCTTCCTGGGAGTATGGTGTGTTCTAGACAGAGGGTGCCCCCGTGACTGGCCTCCAGTGAAAACCCTGGGCACTGAGACTTTAGAGGCTTTTTCTGGAAGATACCTCAATGCGTTGTGGCGTGTTGCAAGAGGAATTAAGCGTGCAGTGTCTGACTGCACTGGGAGGACCCTTAACCCCCACCCGGTTTTCTCCAGACTTTGCTCTGTGCATCTTCTCCCTTTACTTTGTATCTTTTTGCTGTAATAAATCACAGCCAGGAGTATGACTGTGCTGAGTCCCATCAGTGCTCAGTGAGCCAAGGAACCTAGGAACCACCAAAACGAAATTCACTTTCAATGTGGGTACACAGTAAGCACCTCAAACTCAACTGGTCAAAAACAAACCCCTGATGAATTCCCAGAACTGCTGCAAAGGTTCTGTTCTCCATGAAGCAGCAAGAGGGGATCTTTTAAAAAAGTGGCATAGTGGTTCTGGTGCTGGACTCCCACAAGGCCAACTGTGGTTCAAGTCCTGGACCCAGAGGCTTAAAAATCACACCAGAGGCATGTGTGCATGCCCAAATCCCAAGAGGAGAATGGAGAAAGGACTGCGGTGTGACGACATCCCATCGAGAGAGGCTTCCTCCCTCCCTCTCTGGCCAGTGCACGCATCCTCTGGCACATCGACACCCCCCCACACATACACAAATAGATTAAGCAATCGTGAGATCATCTTGTTCCCTTTCACAGAATTGAGCCAATCACCACTATCCTATTCTGTGCTACTCCCATTTTTGCCTTTAAAAACATCTGGAAAGCTGTTTATTTGGAGTAACTTGGATTTTTATGATGCCTAGGCAATCATCCTAACCCTGGCCCAAATTCTTTTGTTTTACTACGTGGCCTTGGCCTTCATTTCTTAGGGTGACGCCCCACTTGCTATCATATTACACATTTACAGGGGGCTTTTTGTTTGCCTGTTTCCCCGACTAGAACAGGAACCTTGGGATCTGCAGCCCAGCAGTAAGTGCTGTGTAGAGGAAACCAGAGCCCACATGGCCAGCTGGAATCTGAATTCTGGCCCCAGTGAGATGCCATATGCATGCCCAGGATTCTGACAGAATGGAGGAAGGAGGAAGGATTGCAGCCAGACCAGGCCTGAGTTGGGGTGCTCTTTCTCTTTCTCCTGTGTGGTCAAGTGCTCTATTGTGAATAATGTGGGGTGGGGAAGAGTAGGATTCTTCACCCTTAGTTTTGTTCTTTGCTGAATACCCAGTGGCCAGAGTACTGCCTGGCCCATGGTAAGTAGTGCTTAAATAAAAACCTGAGTAGAGGATGCATGGGGGCACCAGGTAGCATAGCGGTTAAGGCCCTGGACTCCCACATGGATGACAGAAGTTCAAGTCCTGGACCTGGTGGCTTGAAAACCATGCTGTGTGTGTGTGTGTGTGTGTGTGTGGTATGTACGTGCCCCAAATCCCAGGAGAATGGAGAACAGATTTCAGCATGGCCAACCCCTCTGGGGGGGGGGGGTGATTTCTCACTTTTCCTCTCACTGTCTGTTAATTCTCTGGCAAGTGCACACACCCTATGGCAAAAACCCTAAAAACAAAACAAAAACTTGTAGGGAGCTAGCCCAGTAGT